CCATCCTCAAAGCCTGGTTTCCATGTGCTGTTTCTTTCAGCTCCTGCTCTCCTCAGATACCCTTACAGAAGCTGCTCTTTTCAGCCACACTGACCCAGGACCCAGAGAAACTACAGCAGCTGGACTTATTCCAGCCACGCCTCTTCACATCTGTCTATTCTGAGAAAAAAACACTTGGAGATGGAACAGAAACTGAACAAGATGCTAATAATAAATACACACTCCCTGAGGGGCTATCGGTATGGTGTTCATTCTCTTAAATAAGTTATGGTTGAATTCTAGAGTATCTGGTTATGGTTTTACTGTAAAATGTCTGTGTTTTCCTGCACTACAGAGGTGCTGGGCAAAAGTGGCTTTGGGAGTATTTACGACCCAGAGAGCTCTATCTTTTTGATTTTGTTTTCTCATTACTTAATGTTCATTTGTTTAAGGCTGGATTTTTTTTTTTTTTTTAATTAATCTCTCTTCACATGGAATTAAGTTTTACCAGCAACGAGGAGTGGAAATGTGAAATAATAATAATGTAGTAGCACTTATCAATTGTCCGTATGTACAACGTGCATTTCAAGGCATGCAGATACAGGCCAGCCTGTAGACAGGAAGGCAGTGCATGTTGTTACTTGCTATGGAGAAGTAAGAACAACTCAGATCTCCTGTCTCCACTTGTTTTGTATCCTGCCAACCTGTAACTGTGATTTATTCTAAAGGGGGTGGCACTGTGGGGTCTGGTTTTGCTGCTATTAGTCAGTTTTAAAACATCCAAGCCTGTGCAGGTCATGGACAGGTAGTGGGTTTCAGGGCAAATAGTCTTGGCAAGAAGTAATTTTTCTCTCTGAACTTCTTCCCTGTGGACTGCAGCAATGTTACGTGCCCTGTGACCTGAATTCCAAGCCTTTGCTCCTCTTGTACTTCATGCTGACAATGAAGTTCACCCGCGTGTTGTGCTTCACCAACTCCAGGGAAGCTTCTCACAGGTGAGTAGAGAATGAGATCACTATCGTAGGTACCTGTCAAGTGTTGTTACAGAGGCAAGGAAGTGACTGTTTCCCCTTTCCCTGCAGGTTGTTCTTGCTGGTTCAAGCCTTTGGTGGAGTCACGGTGGCTGAGTTTTCTTCTCGGTTGACTCCAAGTGAGAGACAGAGAACCATAAGGGAGTTTGAACAAGGAAAAATACAACTGTGAGCATCTTAAATGACTTTCCTGCATGTCTTCCAACATAGGCTGTTTTCAGTGAGAAAAACTAGGCAGAACCAAGGACACAGCTACACAGGGTCCTCTAAAACAGTGTGCAGGAGTCTGTGGCAGAATGGGTATGGTTTATCCTGCATGTAACTTGGCCTATTCTAATCTAGCTGCAATCTGAATTTCTGTGTGTTATTTCATGGCAAGCAGTAAATGTAACTGCATGTTCAGAGTTGCCCAAAACACACAGGTCTGCAAATCTGAAGTTTATTGTGTGTGCTGGGCATCTGGTGCTTGTAGGAAGGAAATGGATATTGGTGCTTGAACTATATACAGTGGTAGTGCTTCCTACCAAAGCAGTCCCTGCTCAGACTGGCGTACAGCTTTACTTCTATCCAAGTGTTTGATTTACATTGTGATTTTGGTAGCTGTATGAGGTTGTATCTGTGGAATGTCTCTGAGAAGAAGGTAAATACTGATTTTCTGGGTTTCCTTTTCATCCAAACCTCGACTACTGGAATTTCTCACCTTGCTCTCTGCATTCAGTACCTTTATGGAATGTTCAGATACCTTAGAGGTTTGTAACCTCCAGTGCACTGGGAGCTGTCAGGCTTAGTGTTCCATGCTTGGAGAACCTGGAAACACCCAGTAGTTTTTCATGCATAACAGAGGGTGACAGGCTGTAGTGATGCTTGGAGGTCTGTGGGAAGCTAGTAATACCAGTGACAGTGAGGAGTGACTACAGTGCTCCTGCCACACTCAGAGACAGGGGCTGGCTGACCAGTTTGAACAGAGATCAGCAAGAACTGTGCTGTGTTTCACTTGTGTGTATAGTACCAGAGATGTTGCCTGAAAATAACTATACACATTTACAACCAGGTTGATCAGCACAGATGCCACTGCACGAGGGATTGACGTTAAAGGAGTGAATTATGTAATAAATTATGATGCGCCGCAGTTCATCAGGACGTACATTCACCGGTAAGGCAGCCAGGAACAACAGGGAGATGTCTTGAGCTTGGTTTGCTTTGAAATGTTTAGCAAAGGTGACATGCACTTAAAAGGACTTTTAGTTTTTCTTTTTACTTTAATATGCAAATAGCTTTTGAATAAAAATTAAGCCCATAGCGTTGCTTGGAATCAGACTTGCTTCAATGTGAAGAGTTTCAGAATCAGACTCTTGGAGCTCATAATGGCAGTGACTAGGGGGCTCAAACTGACTTGAAGCTACTTTTTCTGTTTCCAGGGTTGGAAGAACAGCTCGTGCAGGAAAAGTAGGTGTTGCCTTCAGCTTGGTCCTTAGAATTCAGGTATGTCTTTGGTGTGGGGTTCATTTGATAAGGATGCATGCAGGGGCATAAGGAAGATAAAGTTCATACTACTGCTCACCTTTTCCAGTCAGCTGAGCTTTGTGCACAGAAACTTCAATTATTTCCTGACTAGGCAACATGTGCCAAAATGTGCTCATTTTCTAGCTGATGGGCAGTGGAGTGTCTCATCACCTATGTCTGTTTTGTTATGCAGGAACGTCGGTTTCTGCGGATGTTGAGGGACGCCGGCATCCGAGACATACAGAAACACCCCATGAAGGGCAAAGCATTAAAGCCTTTGGTGCAGCAATATGAGGCAGCTCTGTGTAAGCTCGAGAAGACAGTCAAGGTAATTGAGTCAGGGAATAAAATAAAAAAATCAAAACTACAGCTTGTGCAGTTTACTGCAATTCATGCTTAGCACAAGTATTAGTGTCCAGGATCCTTTCCTCTAACTGAGAGAATTCCATCTCAGTGTGAAGGCAGCATTGTGGATGCATCGTTATGGAATACTCAGAAAGGCTGGGGAGAGGAGGAAGAGGTTTTCTCTTAAAGGTGGGCAGCATCCCTGGAGGGATTTAAAAGACATGTAGACTTGGAGGCATGGTGGTAGGTTTGGCAGTGCTGGGTTAATGCTTGGACTCAGTCATCTCAAGGGTCTTTTCCAACCAAAACAACTCTATGATTTGTGGTGGTTTTTTTCTATTCTGCCTTTCTCTTTACCTCTGGAGCTGGGATTTTGGCAGCTACCCAGTGTACTGCAAATGAAAAGCAGAGATTCAACTTTTTGTCATTACAGAGTTTAGGACTGTACTGTACAGCTATGCTGACTAGAGTTGGGTATCCCAAACCAGGAAAGCATTATCTGCAGGCCCTTCTTTATACACCAATGGGAAGGTTGAGAGCTTTCAGACAAAAGCAGGGTAGCATTTACTGTGCCAGATGGGTGGACTAGGAATCCATAATAGACCTTGTGCTGCATGATTTGGGCAAGTGTTCTGCTCTCTCATTTGAGAACTCCTGATAAATGTCTATCCTCAAAAAATTATGATTTAGAGTTCTAGACGAGGAATGTTTGAGAACTGGGGAAGAAAAGATTATTAAATTGTCCCATTGCTCCCTGAAGTCCCTTCTGTGTGACCCTGAGACATCTTCAGTCACCTTCTCAACTTTAATTTTGAACAGAATGAGCGAGCACAGAAACGAGCCTGAAGGAATGGAAGCTGAGATGGTCGTGTTTCGTGGCACTGAAGCCCCTGAGTGGGACAGGACATGGACTCATCCCCAGCACAGTAACGCTCAGTCGTGGTCTCAGAACAGGCCTCAGTGGTTGGCTCCTCAACCTTATCATAGCTGAAGCTGTTACCAGCCTTGTTCCTCTTTCAAGGACATTGGAAACGGAGTTCACTTACTGGTTGAAAAAAAAAGATAAAATTTGAAATACAAATATCTGGAAGAGGACTTTGCATCGTATCCTGCTGGCGTGTGTAGAACTGCCACCAGCTCCTGAGCATGGGCCTGATGGAACTGCTGTCCTCCAACGGTGAGGGCTGGGCCCTTCTGCCCTGGAGCAACTAATGGTTCTGTCTTACTGCACAAGCAGCTGTGTCTGCAAATGCATAAACACCTGTACAGTGCCTGTAGCAGAAGTGTTTGAAAAGCTGCTCTAGGCTGAAGTGACTGCAACTTTTAAATAAATACTATATATATATATATATATATTTTTAAAACAGTGTCTAATAAAAGATTCCGGGGCTCAGGAGTTGGACTTGATGATCCTTTTGGGTCCCTTCCAAGTTGGGATATTTCATGATTAGGGATGGAGATATTGTTGAAGGGATTTTTCACTGTTATAGTCTTTTGCCTTGTCCTTGGCTTCCAAGAAAGGACAGAACTTTGGAAGGAACGTTGTTTCCTTCCAGCGTTCTGTACCAGTGGCAACAGCAGGTATTATTAAGTGTTAGGCTGGTGTTAATGCAGACTGATATGTCTGATGTCTAATATGAATGTCCTGGAGCCAGGTAGTGTCACTGCAAGCCATAAATCTGTATTTGACACATGCCACTGGTATTTTTAGCTGTCCCGGCAGAGGGCTTAGAGCTGCCACGTAGCTGCAGCCTGCAACTACCCTCCATGGGGGTTGCTTTTCCTTCAGGAGGAAAGGCTCCAGCTCTGCCTTATTATTGTATAAGGTGAAATATATGTACACCAGCAGCACCAAAACATTCCTGAAGCAAAATGAAGGGCTGGGAATCTTGAAGGGATGGGTGTTGGGAAGGGTGGTTGAATCTTGTGAAGATAGGACCAGTGTGGGTTTGGTTTACAGCAGTGAATCAATGTGTGTTTTCCTGTTGCGTGACTGCTCACTCTCCAGTTGTTTTTCCACAGCACGGGTGTCTTGGCTGGTGATGGAATCGCAGGAATGGAAAGTCCTCTTGTGCAAGAACTGCGAGCTCCCACGGGGCAAACCCAGGATCTGCCTCTTGAGCACCCACGCCCAGTCAGTCCTGCGGTTTCCTTATCATTAAGGGATTAAGGGCGGTTATTAGGACAAGCCAGAGATTAGATGTGAGGTGGCAGAGCCTGATTGAAACTTTGCTCCAAAAAGTGCCGTCACCGCTGTCCTGTGAGCCCCCGGCACGGCCCTGCCCCGAGCGGCCGGAGCGGGGGAGCTGCGCTCCGCCCCGGGGCGGACCCGGCGCGGGCGGGGAGCTGCTCACACCCTGCATCGCACGCAGCGAAACGAGAGCGGGCGGCGGCGGCAGCAGCAGCAGAAGCAGCGGTGGCAGGATGGGGCTGGAGCTGTACCTGGACCTGCTCTCGCAGCCCTGCCGGGCGCTCTACATCTTCGCCCGGAGCAACAACATCCCCTTCGAGTTCAAGCGGGTGCAGCTGATGAAGGGTGAGCGGGGCCGGGGGCGGCGGGGAGGGGGTCCCCCTGTCCTCCCGGTGTCCCCAGCGTTAGTCGGGGCCCAGCTGCTCCACCCGCGGGCGCCCCGCGTCCCTTCGCCGCTCCCGGGGGAGCTGCCGGATTCCAGCCCGCGGGTGGAAGCGGGTTACTCACCGTCCCCATCAGTGCCAGATGCTGCGAGAGGGCGAGGTGGCCCTCCCGCTGCAGAGGGTTCCTGGTGCCTACACAAAAACAGGACCTAATTGTCCAGTGCACCCCTGTTTTTTAAGTAGTCATCTCAGTACCTCTGTTCCTCTGCAACAAAGAGGACTCTGCAAAGGCGTGTGGTATCTTTGAAATCGGCTCCACCCCAGCAGAAAGTGAGTCTGATAAAAGAGGCTTTTCTGAGAAGCGCTCAGGATGTGCCAGGTCTGAGGGCATTCCCCGGTTAATGGGAAACAGAAATTCAGAGGTGGGACATACATGTATGGGCGAGGACAGCCGAGGTGTGCAGTTCTTGTTTCCTAATTAAACTTCTTTAAAAAGCTTTGTGCTCCAGTAAGCAGCAGCAGTTGCTGCAGAGCAGCTCTTTTCCTCTTGGCAGGGGTTAACAGCCCCGTGGGAGGGTCCTCATGTATGAGGGTCCTCACTGCCCATGTGTCCCCATGTGCAGGCAGGGCAGGGCAGGGCAGTTGGCTGTCCCTCTGGGGGTTCCATTGGGTCAGGCAGTTTGTAGCCAGGTTATTTTGAGAGGGTTGAGGGCAGACTTGTGAAGGCTGTGGAGCGAGACAATGCAGCTGCCAGTGATCTGAACACTGATAAATGAAGAAAAGAAAGTGGTTTTATTTGGGCTAAAACCAACTGATAACTGATAGGAGCCTGTCCAAGGGGTATTGTGTGTTGTCACCAAAGGATGCCCAAAGATCTGCATCTTCTTTCTTTGTAACTGAAGCTGGTAAAAGCTGTCTTTCAACCTTTCCAGAGCTCTGCTGGATTTGAAATTAAGGTAATGTATTGGGCATAACGATGCCTCAGTAAGTAATGCTTAAAAACAGTGAGAAGGCTTCTGGGGCTGAAATTGATAAAGGAACAAAAGAGGCTCCAAGTTGTGACTCAGATCTCAGGGGTGATGTGGTTTAGTCTCTGGGTGTTCCCCTGCACACCTTAGCTGTGCGTTGGTTGTACCTTGCTGTGGCTTTTCCTCCCACCTATTTCATAGCAAAAATTTTTGCAATTGTTTGTAACTGGGGGCAGGCTCATCTTGTGTCCTTACCCTTCTTTCCCAATAAATAAACTGTTGGGAGATGGCAGGCAAGCAATGAGAGCATCAAGGAGAATGGAACAACTGGAATACAGGTATCAGGGAACTGAGAGGAAGGAAAATTAATTAAGTCACAGTTTCCCAGTGCTCTGTGCCCCGTGGCATCAGTGCCTGCTTTTGGCCAGTGCATTTAAGATGGGTTATTTGGCCTATGGGAATGCTAAAAGTGCATCCCATCCCATTCCTCCAGTGCGTGCACCTCCCATACCACAGGGAAGGGCTCCAGGTACCTGCAGCTGGGTTAGCTCGCCCTGGGACACAGTGTGGGAGGCCTTGCTGCACTAGTACCCATCACTGCACAGCATGTGAGGACCAGGAGAGGGAATCGATACTCAGAACTGAGCTGGTGCACTGAATGTGTCCCTTCAGAAAAGCTCCAGGGCCCCCAGTAGGGCAGGTCTCAAGGAAAGGGGTGGAAAGAGTGAGAATGGATAGAAATCACATGACATTCAAAGGACACCTGAGAGGACCTGGAATCTTCACACTTCATCTTTTTGAAAGGGGGTGGGGGAGATGGGCTGCGAGCCAAGTGACAGGGGGAATAGTCACAAATCAGGTTTGCCAGGTACTGGGAAAGCTAAAATCACTTCCAGAACATCTCCTCTGGCACACAGATTCTCAGGTGACTCACATAGCAGGAGATGGCACAAGGTTAGTTACACGTTAGAGAGGCTTGAATACACAGGTACACATGTGTGACTGAAGCCAGTGGTTGGAAAAGGCCAGCACAAACAAGTCACATAAAACAAGGCTTCTGGGACTGGGTCCAGACACAACAGAGCATGTTGAGACCTCAAATGAACAAAGCACCTTCTCCTGTCAGATTCACTCTGCCTGCCTTTCAGGGGGGACCTACAAGATAGCTTAAAAGCAACAAATCCATATTTTCTCTGACAAAAGATATGACAAAGTGCACAGGAGCTGACTGTAATGAAGTACCATCTTTATATGGAATCACAGAAATTTATTTTCATCTGAGGACTAAAAAGAGAGTTGAATATAAATTACATTATCATCCAGGAAAAAAAAAATAAACTGCTTTCTCACTGTCCATATTGGTGATGTTTCTGATAGTGAGATCTCTTTCCTCTAAGGCACTCAGTGCTCACTCTGGGTTTGTACAGGACAGGTACCTCTAGGCACAAACTTGGAGCCCGGAGTAGACAAGCACTGTTGGTATGAAAGGATAGAGCCCTGAGTAGACAAGCACTGTTGGTATGAAAGGACTCCTAGCCATTCTGCCTGTGGTCAAGAGGTGGGTCTGGTATGCAGACAATAAGCAAGTAAGGTGATACCATAGGGCAACCCCCCTATTCACCCTGCAGCACTTATTGATTGGTTATAAGCTTGATACAAGACTGTATTTGTACAATCAAAACCAGGAACTTGAGGCCAAATGGTCCCCACAAGCGTTGCAGACAAGTCCTGACTATCCCTGCCAAGTAAAACTTCTCATTTCCCTCCTCAGGGCAGCACAGGACGGAGGAGTTCCGGAAGGTGAATGTCCTGATGAAGGTGCCTGCACTAAGGGATGGTTCTTTCACCTTAGCAGAGAGGTGAGGCTCAAATAAGCTCAACCCCTACCTGCAGTATTGTTTATCCCAGAGCTTGGATTCTGCCAGGGCACTGCTGGGACTCCAGCCCAGGCAGTTTTTTTTCTTCCTTCCTGTCGGTTCCACTTGTACACAACAAACCTACGTTTCAAGAGAATCCTTCTAATGTAAACAACTCAAACAGCATTGATAGTGCAAAGATCAGTGGGCTGCTGCTCGGAGCTACCTTGCATGTAGGCAGTGTTTCCGAGCTTAAATACCTGTCCACGTGTCCTCCTGCTCTCTGCCTGCAGCTGGAGGCTGTAGGTCAGTGCAGGAAGTCTGACATAAGGCCCCTGCTGCTGAATGGCCAGGCACTGTGAAGCTTTGGTATAAACTCATTCTGCAGCTCCTGTTTGCTCAACAGTGTCACGGGGTAACTGTGCCAGCAGGCCACGTCTGTCTCGCTGGGCGGATGTATCAGATAATTGCTGCCCACAAGCAGCTGGTTGAGCCAGCACAAACTCTCTCCTGTGCTGTGCCTTGCTGGCAGTTCCATGTCCTGCACTTCTACCTGACTCAGATCAGGCTTGTGTTGCTGCTTGTCCAGCAGTGCACAGTTTGGGGGGAGAAGAAAGGACGAGGTGCTTTACTCTCAGGTGATCAGCTCACTGGTCTGTCTCGCTCTTTGGGCAGCATTGCAATCCTCCTGTACCTCGCCCAGAAATTCAAGACTCCTGATCACTGGTACCCATCTGACCTGCAGAAAAGGGCGAGGGTTGATGAGTACCTGTCATGGCAGCACGCCAACATCCGTGCGAAGGGGAGCAAGGTGTTCTTATCGAAGGTGAGACCACCATATACCAAAAGTTAAGTGCTAAGAGCTGTGAGTGCAATGGCCCACCTGTGTGCAGGGCCTTCCCGAGCAAATGTACAAGTCAGGTGACAAATTGGAACAAAACTAGATCTGGAATTGACTTGGCTGCTCAGCTGAGCCTAACTGAAGTGGCCTGAATCCCTCATGGTGCAGCCACTGCTCTGTGAGACCCAGAGCAAACTCATCCTGGGTGAGCAGCTCTCACCAGACACAGCTCAGCGCCTGCTGCTCAGCTTCATGGAAAGAACCAACCTCCTGCTGGAAAACAAAACGCAGTTGCTGGCAGATGATGCAGTCTTCCCTTGAGAGGAGATTCTTGTGGTTGAAATTTCAGATTTCTAGGGAGGAGACAAAGAGAGGCAGGAAGTAGTGACTGACATTAATGTTGACCTGGCAAGGGAGATGAGCAGTTCCAGTTGTTCTCTTGCCTGGCTGGTGAGGGATCCTCAGAGGGGGGCAAAGAGAGGGTGATGACCGGGTTTGGAAGGAATCACTTAAAGAGCAACTTGTTTCTTCTCCCTGCCAGGTGCTGCTGCCTATCCTCACAGGCCAGCCACTTTCTGCAGAGAAACTGGAATTTCTTATTGAGGACCTCAATGTTGTCCTAAAGCAGTTTGAAGAAAAGTTCTTGCAGGACAAGCCCTTCATCGCAGGCAGCGAGATCTCCCTGGCAGACCTCGTGGCACTGGTGGAGCTCATGCAGGTGAGCATCAACCTGCTGCTGGGTATGTGGGTTGGGCTGTGGGCAGGCCAGGCCAAGGGGTGGCTGCTGCACCACCACCTTGGTAACGGCAGAGCTCCCTGCAGTTAACCCTTCCATGGGGTTAAGTCTTGTTCCTTTTTGACTTTGACCCTAATTAAGTTTGCCAGGGAACACCTACTCTGATGACACAGTTCTTTCTATAGAAATATGGTCAAATATGGTCAAAGAAGATAAATTACAAACTAGGCAGAGAAAGTAATTTGGAAGAGATGTGCTGGTGTGCACGAACCTCCATGTTCTGTATTAGACAGTTCTGGGGTTAGCCATGGCAGAGCTGTTTGCTGCATGTCTCTGGGGACAGCAGCTGCTGAGGATGTCACCACTTGCTTCCTATGAGCTAAGAACCAGAGATGAGCTCCACCCAATGTGATGACTGACTGCTGCCTTGAGCCAAAAGCCTATCGGTCCTTCCTTTGGTTCCATCCCTGGTAAATGCCTTGTTTGACTCACTCCCAGGTGCTCTCTCTCCCTGCAGCCTGTAGGTGCTGGCTACAACCTCTTTGAGGAGAGGCCAAAGTTGGCGGAGTGGCGCAGGCGGGTGGAAGAAGCTGTGGGGAAGGAGCTCTTCCAGGAAGCCCATGAAGGGATCATGAACATTAAGAACTTAACCGCTGATCAGTTTGCACCTGAACTGCTGGAGAGTTTCAAGCAGCAGCTCCTAAAGCAGGTCAGCCAGAGTTAGAGGATTATGCTCTAATAAAATAGATTATTTTATGAAGGCTTATTGCAGTCTTTCAGCATTTCTTCTAAAAATCATACAGAAACACTATTCCACAAAATGCACTTGCCTTTACTCACAGCCTTTCTGCAACTTAGAAGGGAAGAAAAATACATTTTAAACTGCTGTGAGCTGCTTTCTCCTCTTGTGCACTGCAGCATGGGAGCTGTAGCCCTGAAGGCTTTTCTTTCATGTTCCAGCACCACTGGATCTGCTTGAGGACTGAGGTGGTTCAGTCTGTGTGGAAACGGGGGCCAGTCAGAGCTGCCTTCTCCACCTCTGTTCAGAGTTTTCCAGACAAGAGCAAAGGTTTCCTGAGGGTATGGTGGAACAGATGTACCTGAAACAAGGAAAAATAATTGTAGCAGATGGTTTTCACTCTGCAAAGTGAAAACACTCTGCTGGAAGATTTTTGCTCTTTAGGAAAGAGGCAGTTCAGGCCCCAGTCCCTGCTGGGGACACTGCCAGGGCTCTTAGAGCACCTGGCCACTAGATGCTGCTGCATCATCTGTGAGAGTAAAGGGACAGTGCCCAGGAGCAGGGAGCTGTGTGGGTACCCAGGGGAGGCCTCCAGCTTCTGGGAAGGATGGGGTTAGTCCTGTCAATAAAATTCCTTGACTACAGACTCGTATCACACTCTACAAAGAACACCCTGCACAGTGGTGAAAAGCTGCTTTTCTTGGTCAAGCTGCTGCCAACCACACAGTCCCCACTGTAAACCACACCAGTGCTCGCTCTGTTTTCCCACAGTGGCTTTGTCAGCTCAACAGAAGCCACTTAGGCCAGGCTGTGTGCACTGACAGGGGCTGTGGTGGCTGGGCCAGCACTGAGGGCAGTGGGAGCTGTGCTGGCCAGCCCTGGGTGAGCAGAGCATTCAGTATAAGAGCTGAGTAATGCCCCAAATACAGTTAATGTTCCACTACTCTTTTGTCTCATCAGGTTCTCTAGTAAGGTTAATGGTTACATTTGCCAAGTGGTGTAGCTCTGTTTGGATTTGTAAACAGGATTTGGAAGGAAGTGGACATTGAGTCATCCTGCACACCTGTGCAGCATCCTTTACAACCTCTTGCCTGTGCCCCTTCATGTCCCTCCTGCCTTCCTGTCCTCCTGTCCTGTGACCTTCCATTTCCAGGTACAGGCTTCCACAAGGAGGGTTCCAGTTTGCAGAATTTTTTTCCCACCTCCTGGTTCAGCTCTGGCTGTATCTGGAAGTCTGTCTGTGCTGGCTGGTTACACTGTTCACAGAGACAGCCCTGCAGAATGCTGGGGGTGAGATGTCAGCCATCTGAATGCGAGTCATGACAGTGCTCAGAAAAGGTGCAATTAGCTGCTCAAACAATCTCACGCATGTTTTCAGTTGGACCTACTGTTTTTGGGGAATGAGCCAGCTCCCTCTTCTGTGTTTGTCTCCTGAGTAAACCTGCCCTTTAGTTCAAAAGGGCACGTGAACTACAGCTTGCAACACACATGCCTGTGGGCTGAGCTATAGCAGCCAAGCAGGCCGGTCCCTTTACCTTCCGTTCCTCCAGCCTACGGGAAATCCTAAATGTGAGTGGTGAAAAGTCAGCTTTTCCCCCAAACTTTTTCAGTTTCAGTGCTGACACATGCAGGGATATTTGTCTTCTGACCTGATTTTTGATGGGTAGGTTTGTTGAGAAGAGCCTGTTGCATGCCAATGAGTAAAGTCAATGACAGGAGCTCTCTTCTTGCCCCAAGGGTGCCTAAGCAGCAACCCCTGACGATGCTGCCCCACTGCTCAAGTTGCCGGCAGTGCTGAGCCTCAAGAGAACGGCCTGTTTACGTTGTACCACCAACCACTTCCTTCCCTCTGTAACCTGCAGCTTTACCACAATCACCAGCTGGGCTGCTGTGCACCCTGCAATCAAAGAGGTGCCTTCACTGCCTCACCAAGGCTGCCCAGCCTCGCTGCACTCTGCTGTTGGCACCTTTGTACTTACCCTAACTTCAAGATTCCTGACTTCCAACTTTTCCCTTTCTTGTAGAGAGCAAACTTCCTACCAGCACAATAAATGTCTCCCACAGCTTCTGCACAAGTAGAATCAGAGCAGAGAAATTATCAAAACCAAGAGCCTATTCTGCAGAGTGCTAACCTCGACAAACCTCAGACCAGGCTTGGGAGCAGAGCCTTTCCTGACACACATCTCCCTGCAGAATCTCCAGACAGGGCTGCTCTGCACGCAAACCATTGCATGAGTCAAGGTAAATAAAGTGTCTTTCTTTTCATTTTCTAATTTATGATACTTGTAGCACAAGAGCTCCATGTAAGAGTCTTGAGGCAATTTTCTGCTTGTTGGAATAAAGCACAAGTTCCTTAAATGTCACCCATTGTGTGCTCCTGCAAGGACGGCTGCCTTCAAAACCAAGCCTGAACTGCGTTCAGAGCTGGCTCTCTGGTGCTCCTCCACTGGTGTGTCACAAAGGATAAGCACACTTGCCTCACTCCAGCCTGGTCATGGTGACAGAAGAGATTTTAAATTGTTTTACCCCTAGTCTCTGGTCTGTTGCACGTTCATGGTGCAGGGACCAGTGGTATTTTGGGCCCTTCTATGCACGTAGGACAAAGCACCTCCCTAGAGCAACTCCTTGGATGGTCACAGAGTTGTACAACAGATGCCTTGTTTTTTGGTCTAAATAGTGGAGATAAGGCAACTCATCCTTGTACTTTGCCTTTTGCTATCCCTACACCTCTGCATTTTGTGTCATTTGATCTTGTCACGTTCCAGTTCCCAGACTGAAAGCCCTGAGAGCTGCCTGCCAAAACCCAACAGGTTGTGCAAGAGTTTTGCCTGCCTTGGTACAAGGTCTGTTGTTGAGTGTCCACTCCCCTTTCACCCTGAAAAGCGAGAGGGTCACACCTCCAGTGTCAGTTTAACATGCTGTTCGATTCAATTTGCTCAATTCTTGCCAGGGGCTATTTGGAAATAGGTGAGAGCCTGTGACTTTTAGAATAAAATGAAGCTGGGATACACAAAATGGGAGGAATAGTTAAAAAGCAGATCCACATCCTGAGACCTTTTCTAAATTACTAAGAAATAAATTGCAGAACTTAATGTGTTTTTTCTGTCTTGTTCCTGTTCCCAAAAAGCTGACAGAGAAAATAAGGGCAGGAAAAATGTCCTTTGAGGTGATGGAGTTAAGTGAAAATACAGTGCTAGAAGCACAAGCCTGGAGCCAGGAATAATCAGTCAAATGGCCTATAACACAACCAGATAAAAATACCTCTTGGGTTGTGTGGGCTGTGCAGTGCAGTCAGCAAATTGGAGAAAAACTTAAGGAAGGAACATTTCCAGGAGGCACATGAAAAGATCTTTGAAGTCCAGATAGGACTAATAGATCAACTGAACCATAAATAAAGGAGCAAAGCGAACCCACACTGCTAAGGTTGCTGCACACCACTGAGATCAACAAACTCTTCATAGGGATATCTCAGAGTAGGGACATGCAACCACTCTGAAGCACAAAGACTTCTCAGACTATTACCTGTGCAGAGCCACTTTCATGCTCCTTTTCCCCACTCCCTTAAGATTCCTTTGTACTGAAGGAGTTTGAACTCAAGCACCTACCACAACACCTTGATCTCCAGCATATTGGTGCTGGTGCAGGTGCTCTAGAGGGTAAACTGTGCATGCAGGGGAACTGGAGGGTGTGCACAGCCCCTTTCCCTGTTCTGGCTGAGAAACTGAAAAACTCTTATGGTGTGGTTCTAAATCTGAAAGTTCTAAACCCCTGAAAGTGTTCCAGTTCATAATTTACCCAGAGCTCCCAGCTCAGTAGCTGAGCCTTCTCACCACCCTTGGTAACGATCCTCTCTACAAGAAAAAAAAGCAACTGATCCTCCAGTTCCCTCTCCCTGAGGTTCACATAGCTCTTTCCAAAGATTTGTGCAACACACAGGCTCTGTAGCACAACACTGATAAAAAGGTGTCAGCTGAGCCGAGGTGGGTTTGACTGGAGGTGACTTTGCTCTAAGTGGTTCAGCTGCTCTATCTCCCAGAGTCCCAGAAGTCCCTGTACTCAGCCAGCATGTCACCTTCCCTGAATCACACAGCTGTGAAATGCTGCAGGCCCAGTGCAAGGGCTTGAATTGAGTCTAAGCCTCTTTAGTTCTCCTCCACTTGTGTGGAAATCTGAAGTGACAAATACCAGGGAGAGCAGAAAGTCACTTTGAGTAAGTATGCAGATGTAATGCCTGCAGAGAAGTCCTCCACGCTTCACTGCCATTCAGGTGTCACCTCGCAGGACTGGGCAGAGACTACGTGACCAAAGAATTATGTTCTGAACTGAAAACCATCCTGAGATCTGGCGGTGTGAGATTAATGCTTAGAGGACCTTGTGCAAAGGCCTTGTCTGCAGAGTGGCACATCCCTGCAGAGCTGTGTTACAAGCATTTACCTTCTAAGAGCCATGGTGGGATGCTGAGGGTGAGAGCAGCTCCCGAGCCCCTTTGGTGCCAGCCAAGGCTGCAGAGGGGAATGACAACCCCTGCTCTCTCAGAGCTTAGTGCCAACCTCTCTTTTGAGGCTGGCAATTGACCGTTACTCGCAGGTTATCTCTCACGTTCCCTTCCTTTCCTGAAGGAAAATGAATAGGCACGGTGTCAGCCCCCGCGGGCCAGGGCCGCCTGACGGTGGAATAGGGAACTCTGTGCCCTCTGCCCAAATTCCAGCCGCGCCTTCCCGCCCCTGCCACGGTCGAGGGGACTCTCCTGGGCTTCTCCGGGATTATCCAGACCGCACTCCGCAGGAAGCCGGCGCCCCGCGGTCCCCCCACGGCTCACACCCCGCTCTCTCCGGCTCCGTGCCCCGCACAGCCACCGCCCCCCGCCCTTTGCGGCCCGGGGAAGGGAGGAGGGGAGGGACGGAGGGCACCTCCCGCCCGGCGCGGCTCGGCCCCCGCCGGCCCATGCGGGGCGGCTCCGGGTGGCCGCCGGCAGAGCCGCGGCAGCTCCGCGCGGGGCGGGCCGGGTCGGGATGGGGCTGGAGCTGTACCTGGACCTGCTCTCGCAGCCCTGCCGCTCCATCTACATCTTCGCGCGGAGCAACAACATCCCCTTCGAGTTCAAGCACGTGGAGCTGTTCAAAGGTGGGACGGGCGCGCTGCCCCGAGGCAGAGCGGGGCCGGGGCGGGCGCGGCCCGGCGGGGCGGCGGCTCAGCCCCTCTCTTGGCTCTTGGCAGACTCGGTGCTGGGGAAGAGGCCGGCGGCGGGGAGCGGCGCGGAGCAGCCCCGCGCAGGTGAGAGCAGGGCAGGGGACGGGAAGGTCCCCGCGGCGGGCACCGAGCCTGTCCCCGGGCGGGGAGGGGCCGGACGAGCCGCGATCCCCGGGCGGGGGCCGGGCTGAGCCCTCCTGTGCGGGCCTGGACCTGCGGCGGCTTTGCTCTCCCGGCCCCCGGGGGAGCCCCTTCGCCTCTCGGCAGAGGAGCAGCAGCGCGTCCTTCGGCCTGGCGGGAGGGAAGGACGAGCTCCCGGGGTCACCCGAGTGATGCTGAATCCGTGCGCTGCCCAGGGGCATTGAACGCAGTGGTTTGACCGTGCGGCTCCTGTTCCCAGAGCGGTCTCGTAGATCTTCTGCATCTATTTTTGTGGATCACCAAGGAATGTTCCTCCAGCCATTTCTAGCAAATTAGTCACAGTGACAGCCGAGGAGTGCTCTGGGAATGCTGTACTTTGCAGAAACACTCAGATGTTCGGGCTCGCCCAACTATATAACTATTGCCCAGTTACATATTGCATTTTCCTAGTAAACTGTTGCTTTTGTGCACAAGGCAAAGCATAGTACTTGGAAATCCTTAGCTGAGGACATGATTAGGCAGGGACATGACTGACAAATAGACTGGAGTTTTTTCCTTTTTATTTCTGTAAAATCTTGTCCAGTGCTCTTTTCATTCAGCAATAAGTCTCCTTCCTTCTACTATGACTTACACTTTAAAATTCCTTGTGTGTGCAGCCTGCCTTGCTTTTCTTACAGTGTAATAATTTCCTTGTTAAATTACTCCTCAAAGCCCAACAATACACACAGTGTATATATCTATATATTCTTGAGGGACACCAAGATCTCATTACACCAGATACAACTGATGTTAAACAGAACCATAAGTCAAACCAACATCACAGGAATGATAAAGATAGGCCACCTAATACCACTAAACAAAAAGGCTGGCTCTGCTGGCTGGAAGAGAGGCAGAAGCTTAAACTCTGTTAAACAGCAAACACAAATATTGGTCTCTATTTTCACACAATAAGCAGTTGGTCCCAATGAAGCTGCCTGCAGTCAGTGTTCACACCAAGGCATTTGCCAGTTCTCAGCTCAGTCGCAGAGTCTTGGCACGGGTCTTTTATTCTGTGTATAAAGACTTTGTACAAAGCAGAGCACACGAGGTGCCATCTCTGGGCTGTGGTGCAGGCTGTGTTACAGACACCGACCTACTGTCCAGCCTGATGTAATGATGTGTTAGTCCCATCAGGGAACAAATATGCTCAGTATTCGTGCTAGGACTGCTATATGATGAAAGCTGGCTGAAATTTGGTTCAGGCTGCCCTCATCCACTGCTTACTTCTCATGTCCTTGTTTCTCAGTTTCCTGCTACCTTGGAAAATAAACACAGACAGCAGGACAACAACTGGGTCTGACAAGGGAGTGCTCGTTAGCTTGAAGCATTACTGACTGGAAACTTTCTGCTGCTTTTCTCCAAGGACCCCCTGACTACTTACCAGATCTCACCAGAGCTGGGTGTGTGATGACCACTGGCCTTTGGAGCCCTTCTAAAACAACAGGACCAAGCACCTTCTCCAAGCAACTCCTTGCATGACAATAGATTACAAAAATTTGCCTTGCTGTTTCTGTGATACAAATCATGTGTGTGAGGCACCTTGTACTTGGCCTGCTGGCTTGATTTGTGGGCATTTTTATATTCAATTTTCTCAATTATTAGGCTTAACTTGCACTTTCTGTCTAGCTCTTATTCTTAAGAAGCTCTGGCTTCCTGCCTCTCCCGACAGTGCTACCTGTTCTGCACATGGAACCTCTTACCCAGCTAAGCTGGAGGCCACCATCACAGCAGGTAGCCAGAGACTTTTCCCACCGAGATGGAACACATGGGTTTGAATCCCTTCAGACAGCAGATGGATGTGAACCTTAGTCTCTGATGAAGCTGGAATTTAAAAAAAAAATACTTCTCAAAGAAACAATGTAGAGGCTAGTCAGCTAGAAAGGAAAACAGGGTGGTAATGTCTGCTCTGCTTGATTTGCCTCATTATGTGAAATCTATATAGAGAAAGGAGTCTGTAATTGTAATGCAGCTACCTGCCTTCTCCCACCCCTTCCCAAATGATATGCAAACAAATTTGATAGTCCAGAGGGTGGTTTTATTTCCTGGAGACTTATTTCCTGCTGCACATTTGTCCAGTAAAGCAGACACTGTCACTGCCTCCGGAATGGGGGCAAATATTTCTTGGGGATGGAGATCACTGTTAGTTAAGAGACCTTCTTTTTTTATT